ATATCTACATATATTTATCTCATCTTTTCTTTCCCTCTCAGATATATATCAATCCATCCCGTTTAGGTATACAACTATATAATTACATCTATCTGTCCCTTTATTTCTTGCTCTCTCTTTCTCTCTATAAATTATTTAATCAATTATCCCATTTAGCTACTTAAAATCACCAGAGTGCAGTACAACTATATAATTACATTATCTATCTATCTATCTATCTATCTATCTATCTATCTATCTATCTATCTATCTATCTCAGTATTTTCATATCTATGTTTCTCAGTATATTCACATCTATCTATCTATCTATCTATCTATCTATCTATCTATCTATCTATCTCAGTATTTTCATATCTATGTTTCTCAGTATATTCACATCTATCTATCTATCTATCTATCTATCTATCTATCTATCTATCTATCTCCCCTCTCTCTCTCGTTTTCTCTCAGTATATAAATTATTTTATATAATTATATAAATCACCAGAGTGCAGTACAACTATATAATTACATTATCTATCTATCTATCTATCTATCTATCTATCTATCTATCTATCTATCTATTTTACGTCATCTTTCTTTCTTTCTCGTGCTTTTTCTCTCTCCACATACATATTTATATATAGAGATCGAAATCGATTGGTAGACAGTCAGACGAGGGTTAAAGGGTGTAAATGAGTGAGATAAAGAAAAGATAAAGAACTTGACGTAGGCAGAGATAAAAATGAGGAGTAAGAGAGGAAGAAGAGGATATAGAGAGGAGGGAGAAGAAAAAAAAGGAAAGAAAAGAGTGAATAACATTCCTCTTTGGAGCGAATAAAAGCTGTAATCTTTGCCTCGTCTTCTTCACCCTCCTTTCTTCCTAACGCTTCCATTCAACGCATTCTTTCCCCTTGTCCACTCGCCTTTCACCCCTACTGCCTCGAGTGAATAGACCCGTCCGCCGATCTGTACGAAAATTTAAACTTTTTCACACTCTCCATTGTTGAAAGTGATGCGGCACGTGCTCGACTTCTGATTGGTCGAGAAGTGCGCATGCAGGTCAACGTTGTGGATAAGAGTGAAGGACAGAGAGGTTTAGAGTAACAGAAAAAGACAAGAAAAAAAAAAAAATCAACGGCAAAAAAAAAAAAGAAGAAATAAAATAAAAACAAAATGAATAATCAAAGAAGAGGATGAACAAAAATTTCGATAGTGAAATTCTGAAGAGAGAAAAATATGACGTAAAATTTTGAGAGAAATAGAGATGAGGGAGAGAGGAAGAAGTTAGAAAGAAGAAGAAAAGGAATATAGAGAGGAGAGAAAAGAATTGGGTGACAAAAGAAAGAACAGAGTAATCGTGTTTTACGTGTGAGTTTTGTGAAGAGAAAGGAAAAGAAATAAACAGCGTAAAAGAAAAATACTGAAAGAGAGATAGAGAGAGAAAGAGAGAGAGAGAGATTTTCTTGTTTTTAGAATGAAAGAGAGGAGGTGGGGGGAAACAATGAAAGACTGGTCGAAAAAAAAAATGAATTAATAATTCATACTGGGAGAAAAAGAAAGAAAAAAAATATGTAGTGATACATGGAGGAGATTATGTAATCTACGGACCAATTCAATAAAAGGAAAAAAATGTAAGTTACAAGGATGTTGAAGAAGATAAAAGTCTAATAACATAAATATATAAGGGTTGTCTCATTCTTTTTCTGAAGAATCAATCTACCAAATTTACGCAAATTCGTTTCTCTCTCGCTCTCGATCTATCTATCTATCTATCTATCTATCTATCTATCTATCTATCTATCTATCTTCTACTCTCTCTCCTTCTACTTTTCTCTCGTTGGGACCACTATAACCTCTTATATTTTATATATATATATATATATATATATATATATATATTCACTTCTGTCATTTTAAGATTTTTAACCAATTCACCCCAAGCAAGGCGATAATGCCGCTAAGACGCAAGATAATACTAGGAGTAAAAGACAATATGAAGTCTTTAGAAAGAAGCGAAAAGAATCTCAAACAGGACACACGGGATATCTATCTATCTATCTATCTATCTATCTATCTATCTATCTATCTATCGCATTCTGTTCTCTCTCTCTCTCTCTCTCTCTCTCTCTCTCTCTCTATCAGTGAAGAGACAATGAGATATTTGGCATAAATTGAATAAATGAAAGAAAAGAGATTTTTCCCAAGTACAAAAAGATTGACAAAAAGATGTTGGCATGAAACGAGAGCTAGATAGAATGAAGACATGGTAAGTTAGATATATACATAGATACATATTAAAAGAAAGAGATATATATGACTATATACGACAGATATAGAAATAAACAGAAAGCAAAATACCTATGAACGGAATGAGATAAAGAGATAGATAAGAACAGAATCATATGGGTATATATATATATATATATATATATATATATATATATATATATATATATATATATATATATATTGAGGCTTTTCTCCTAATCTATGTATATATATTATCTCTCTTTTCATT